AAAAGTCATAAAAAATATTTTTCCTCACAATTGTATTAATACTAAGAAAATACTGTATTTTTAGGATTCTATAAATAAAAACAGATTCAAACCATGTTTTAAGAGTGTGCATGGTATAGTAATGCTTCTTTAGATTACTCCCTATGATCTACTTATACCTATGTATAATTTTGGAAGTAGGATTGGCATATACTTCCTAAGTAACATGCCTCTGGAAATTCTATGAACATTGATAAATGTGAAGAGTTGTAGAGGAGCTTTAGGACTTTTGTTCATAGGGTCGCTGAGAGTCGTGCTTGAGTTGAAGGTAATCAACAACAACAACATACATAATTACTATCTATAGTAATCCTTTCCAGAGGTAATGTATTTTGATATTTGATATTTAATATGGACAGTTATGAGTCAGGTCTGACTTGATGACATGCAACAACCTAGACTTAACAGTAGCTTCTATGTTCAAAATCTTTTCAACATTGATTTTTCAGCACATTCTAGTGATCTATACTTGTTGACATATTTTTTATCCTAAGAATTTTAAATATTAAAGAATCATATGTTTTGAATATTCTCTATAAAATTTCTAAAATATTCTAAGTTTAATATATTTCTTAGTGCTCATACTAAAATATCTGTATTCCTCATCATTGCATGTTGTTGTTGTTGTTATGTGCCGTCGAGTCGTTTGCGACTCATAGGGACCCTATGCACAACAGTCCTAAACCCTGCTCTATCCTGAGCCAGCCACACTGCCCATGACACACCCATCCCGATTACCCCAGTCACCGAGTCAATCCATCTCATAGAGGGTCTTCCCCTCCTGCGCCGTCCCTCCACCCTCCCAAGCATGAAGTCCCTCTCCAAGGACCCGTCCCTCCTGGCAACATGTCCAAAGTACGTCAGACGAAGCCCCAGAATCCTTGCCTCCAAGGAGTAGCTTGGTTTAATCCTCTCCAAGATGAATCTGTTTGATTTCCTGACAGTCCATGGTACATTCAACACTCTTCTCCAGCACCACAGCTCAAAAGCATCAACTCTCCTTCTGTCCTCCTTAGTCATTGTCCAACTCTCTGATGCATAACAAGCGATTGCAAATACCATGGCCTGTATCAAGCACACCTTAGTCTCCAGAGAGACACCGTTGCTCCTGAGTACTTTCGAGAGGTCCCTAACAGCAGACTTTCCCATCGCGATACGCTTTTTGATTTCCTGACTGCTGGTGCCAAGAGTGTTGACTGTGGAGCTGAGCAAACTGAAGCTGTGAACAATCTCAATCTCTTTGTCATCCATCCTGACGCTGCTAATTGGTCCAGTGGTGAGAATCTTTGTCTTCTTGACATTGAGCCTCAGTCCATACTGAAGGCTGCAGTTCTTGACCATTCGCAACAAGTGCATGAGGTCTTCCTCAGTTTCAGGAAGCAGGGTTGTGTCATCTGCATAACGCAGATTGTTAATAGATCTTCCACCAATCCTGATGCCACAATTCTCCTCATAGAGCCCAGCCTCTTGGATAATCTGCTCTGCATACATGTTGAAAAGGTATGGAGACAGGATGCAACCCTGGCGCACACCCTTTCCAATTTTGAACCATGCAGTTTTACCCTGCTCTGTTCTGACTACTGCCTCTTGGTCCAAGGATAGGTTTCGCATTAGCACAATTAAATGTTCTGGGATTCCCATTCTTCTCAGAGTCAGCCACAGTTTGTTATGATCCACACAGTCAAATGCCTTTGCATAATCAATGAAACACAGATAGACATTCTTGTGGTATTCTCTGCTTTCAGCGAAGATCCATCTAACATCAGCAACAATATCCCTACTACCATGAGGATGTCAAAGGTATCATCCAGGAAGAATGCAAAAGGTCATTACAAAGACAGAAGAGGAAGAAAAGACCAAAATCGATGTCAGAAGAGACTCTGAAGATTGCACTGGAGAGTAGAGAAGTCAAGGCACAAGGAAGAATTCAAGATACTAAAGAGCTGAACAGAATATTCCAAAAGGCAGCTCGGAATGACAAAGCAAAATACTACAACGAAATGTGTGAGGAGCTAGAGTCAGAAAATCAAAACGGCCGAACTCGCTCGGCATTTCTTAAGCTCAAGGAACTGAAGAACAAATTCAAAACTAGAGTTTCTGTAATCAAGTATGCTTTGGGCAGAATATTAAATGATCCAGGAAATATTAAAAGAAGATGGAAGGAATATACTGAGTCACTATATAGAAAGGAATTGGCAGATACAGAGGAATTTAAAGAAATAACATATGAGCAAGAGCCTATGGTGATGAAGGAAGAAGTTCAAGCTGCTTTGAAGGAAATAGCAAAACAATAAGGCCCCAGGAATAGATGGTATACCAATTGAAGTATTCCAGATAACAGACGTTGCCCTGTATGTGCTCACCAAGTTGTGCCAAGAAATCTGGAGAACAACCACTTGGCCAAGTGACTGGAAGAGATCTATATTTGTTCCCATTCCAAAGAAAAGTGACCCAACTGAGTGTGGAAACTACAGAACAGTGTCATTGATTTCACATGCAAGCAAGAGTCTACAGAAGATTATCCATGATTGCTTAGTAACTGTTTATTTAACCTTGGACTAGTTTTTACAAGTTTAATCAAATGTTTATGAGAATAAGAATTGCCAAATACATTCGTGATGCTGACTTTAAAATCAGCAGATAAATCCTCAACATAGTACAACATCCTTTTCCTGAAATAAAATGTGATTAATAAGTTTAATTATGAAGTGACTCTCCAGAAACTTCAGATTTTCCTTAATAGAAGCTATCAATATTTTGCAGCAAATGATAAAAATCAATGTAATAATTATTTCCACATATAGATTGGAAAGGTATGGAGATAGAACACGTGGCTGGTGTAAGCCTTCCCAATTTTAAATCATGCAGTGTTTCTTTGCTATGTTCTGACAACTACCTCTTAGTCTAAATGTAAGTTTTGCATTGTTGCTGTTGATTGCCTATGAGTTGAACACGCATCATAGAGACCCTATGAACAAAAGGCCTGAAGCATTTATTGACATTTATCAAAGTTCATAGAGTTTCTAGAGGCTTGTTGTTTAGGAAATGGATGCCATTCCTGATAGGGCAGTGAATAATAGCCCTACATGGATTCTAAGACTACACTTATTTTTTTAATAGTATTTTCATTTTATACTGGTTCATTTACAAAGTTCATATACATTGTTTTACACACTGGATCTTCTGCATTGTCCTTACCCACTCCTCCCTCTACCCATCAAATTGCATGACTGTAGGATTACCCCCCTGCACATCTTCACCCTTCGGTTCCTACTCCCCTCCTCACTGGATCTTCATACATGTTTTACTAGTTATCTTTCTATTTATACAATAATATTCTTATACAGATTTGTCCTTTGGGACAAGTAGACCTATGTATGGACTTAGGTTTTTATGGACTTATGGACTAAGTTCACTTAGCATAATAAGGCTATTAACCTTGGAAGAAGAGCATTGCCACATCTTTCTTCTACAAGTGACTGGTCATTTTGAACTATTCACTTTTTGCTAAGCAACTAAGTTACTGCAACTGCATCACCAGAGTTCTTCAGCACATAGCAACAACAACAACAACAACAGTATTTATTTCAACACATATTAATTAAGCTCAATTCCAATAATAGTATTCATTCTAAATAGAAGCATTTCTTCTTGTTGTGGTTATTAGGTACCATAGAGTCAACTGTGACCTGTAGTGACTCTGAAGAAAAGATCTGAACCCTCCACTACTCTGTGCCACCCTCAAAATCTCAAGCCCTTTGCTTTTATCATTGTGCTAGTCACTGTCTGGTTAAAGGTTGTCTCTTTCACTGTCCCTCCACCTTCTCAAGCATGATGTCCATCTTTATGCAAGTCTTTCCTAACAATATACCTATGTATTTGTTACAAACTTTCATTATCTTTCCTTCAAAGGAACACTCTCAGTTCACTTTCTCCAAGACACATCTCTCTCTCTCTTTTTTTTTTTTGGCAGGCCATGCAATGTTCAGCACTCTTTTCTAATACTTCAGCTCAAAGGTGTACATTCTTCTTCTGTCATCCTTATTCATTGTTCAGCTCTCAGATCCATAGCAAGAGATTTAAAATACCAAGACCTAAATCAGGTGCACCTTAGTCTTCAAAGTGATGTCACTACTCTTTAATAATTTGGAGAGTTCCCTAACTGCTGACTTTCCTAGTGCAATACATCTTCTGATCTACTGACTGCTGGAACCAAGGGTATTGATTGTGAATCCAAGTAAGATGAAATTGTTAACAGTTTCAATCTTCTATTCATCTTTATAATATTGGTCCAGTTGACTTTCCTAGTCCCCACATAATTTTCAGCACTGCTAAGCATCAGTGCTATCTCAACTAACTAACTCCTGAAGAAAATTAAAATTGAGGATTGTATTTAATGTCAGTGTGTTAATACACTTCATAGGAAAAGAGAAAGTTGTTGAAAAATAATACATCGATAAAAGCAAATTTTCTATCATTTATTAATTATTTAAAATTCATATGGATCAATTAAAGACTTTTCAAATGTTTTCTTTTTATGGTTTGAATGATTACAAACATTTGACTTAAAATGATGTGTCCAGCAATGTAATAACTTTGAAAAGAAAGGAATGCCTGGTAACAACGGTCAGAAACATTCCAATTTAGTGGTCCATATATTTCTTTCCTCTTAAAATCTAAATTTTTGCTTTATAATTGTTTTCTGTGTGCAAGAACAAAATTCTAAAGGACTTTGACATGCAATGGGTATGTTCAACATTCAGAATGAGTAGCTCCCATGCTCACACTGAACTCAACATAAGGCAAAAGCCCAATATTATACTGATTCTTTGGCTCAGTGTGTTTATAAAGCAAAGTAATGTGGCAAGCCTAACTGAAACAAGCCTTTGTTCTTGCCAGCCTTTGATTGCTAACACAGTTGCAAGAAATTTAACCATCAACTCAGATGAAATATGCAGCTTTAATTTGCAGGAAAATTTGTTTCCTGAATGCAAGATACACACATGAATCTGTTTCTATAATTGTCATTTTGGCTTAGGAAAATGAGAAAGTAGCATTTATGTTTTAAAAAAATCTTTCTGCCTCCTTTTATGACTATATCTCATTGGGAAAACAGTAACCCCGGCATATTTAATTCGATGAAATAACATGTCTTTTACTCTTGGCAACTTCATAGATTTTGCCACAGATTACAAAGTGACTGAATGGTTAGTGGTCATGAAATTATCCATATCACAAATATTGGGATATATTTTAATTAATCAAGAAAAGCAAGCCTTTGGTAACTCTAGTTATTGTATGCTACAATACAGAACAAATTACCAACAACCATTCCTGTACTAACTACAACATGGCCAGACGTTATTACTCTAACGTTTTGATGTTTTCTTGTTTCCTACAGTTCCATTTGATTTTCTACTGCCTTTAACATCAGCAGGGAAATCTACAGAAATCCTTGTCCTTGAAGAATTTTTAAGCAGTTCTCATTCTTGTCATCTGATATAAAAATAACCTTTCCAGCAAATAAAATTCCTGGAAATAGGAATAAGTCAAGGTTGCTTGATGACTACCACACAGGCGCCAGCTCTTCCAATATTCAAAGAAGCCATCTGTGGAAAAAAGATGAAATGCAATTTAAGGTAAATGTTACTATCAATGGAGAATATATTAATTATAAAATATTTTAAGTGCTTATATACTTGACATTTTTTAAATGTTCTTTCTTGCATTTTCCAATTTTAGCTACAAAGAGTGCAATAAAAATTGAACTGCTATGTTGTATTGGGAAAATATACTGTACAGCATCTCTCCATAGTACTAAAAAACAGTTATGTCACTTTAAAGATGACAGTGATCTTGACCCAAGTTACGCTATTTTTCATTGTTTATTATACATCTGAAAATTAGACAATGAAAGAGCATGAGTGAAGAAAAATTGATGCCTTAAAATTGTGGTGGTGGATTGGTGGATAAGAGTACTGGATATCTCACAGATTACAAAATGAAGAAACAAATCTATTTTGGAGGAAATACAATCATGGTACTTTATATAGGCAAGAATGGTAAAAATGTATCTCATATACTTTGGGCATGTTTGGAGGGAACAGTCTTTGAAAGGACTGAGTCATTGGAAGGACATCATATTGAGAAATATGAAGTGTCAGAGAAAGAAAGAAACGCCTGTGATGAGATGGATTGGCCTATAACAATGGGCTGTCAGAAATCATGAGGATGGAGCAGGATAGGACGAAGTTCCAATCTGTTTTTCATGGGTCATAGTTGACTTGGTGGCACATAATGACAAGGAAAAGTTTAACGCTAAGAAAAATCAAATGATTTATATATTAAAATTTTAAAACCCATCTTACAATTCAACATGATATAAATGTTGAAATATTTTTAGTGAAATGAAGCTGTTATAGAAAAGTTTCCTGCTAAGCATCGTTTTGGAGCATGCCTTGGTGTATGTGTGATGCTATTTCATAGTAATAGTTGAGAGAATATTTTGGATGAAAGATCCATTACGCTCACTGCAATTTTTGTGAAGTTATTTCCCCAGATATTATACTGAATTAAAAGTTATTCATTTATTCTAGACATAGACAAGAAATGAACTAACTTCAATATTTTGCCATAAATAGGTCATAATCACAGTTGCTATAGGCTTTATAAAAAAAAAAATCACCCAATGGCATTCAGTGAGATGAAAACGGAGTTTTTCTTTTAATAACAGACTATGAAATTGCCTAGGAATATATTAAAAACAATAATTTTTCAGAGTTTGTAATGAAACTTATTCCTTGGAGGTAAGCCAGTTTTTTTTAATAAATTGAGCTTTTTTATATCAGTGATTCTTTATTACAGTTTTCTAAGAATAATTTATGCATATAAAATATGAAAGAGGAATAGATAATACAGGATATTATTTCAAACAGAAATGAATGTTAACATGTAAGAAATAAAATAGCTTAGAATATAATAACTTCAGATAACTTTTGTTTTATTGATTGAGAAAGGACATGATTTAAGTCTCTATATAGGAGAATTGATACCATTTTACACCAGATGTTAAAAATATATTTAATATTAT